TATATTACTGTTAGAAGGTAACATGGGGGGAGTTTGGAAATGCAGGTATGCTTAATTGAACAAGACAAAGAGATAATGAATAGAATGGAACATATAGCAACAAGGATGAGGAAATCAACTATGTGATGCTGGAATCCTAAATAATGAAGGCTTGGGGGAAATGAAAAGAAGAAGGAATCAGCTGAAGACGCAAGGAATGAGATGCAATAAAGTTACTGAGGAACCCACAAGGTGATTGACGCGAAGGATGCAGAACAAGTGTTAAAGTGGAACGCTGGAGAAAGCAGGAAGCAAGAAGGAAGACAAAAGCAAGAAAGAAAGAAGGAACAGAACACGTTGAGTAAAGGAAACCCAGAATGTGAACGCTACAAGAAGAGATCAATTACAGAATGACTGAATCGTGCATAATATGCAGGGGTGCTGTGTGAGGGAAAAAGCAGAAAGGAGAGAAAATAATAGATAGGAAAATGTGGATAATCCTTTAAAAAGCAGATAAGGACTAATCTCAATGTACAGTGAGGAAAGCGAAAGTGATGACAGAGAGGAAAGTGGAGGAGAAGTTGGAGTTCAGAAGAAGGAGCTTGACAGCGGGAATAAGAAGCTGAGAGACTGAGAAAAATGAGCCCAGGCAGGAGGAATGAATTAATGAGATATAAGAGAGCTCAAGAAACAGTCCAATATACATACCACATTCTATGAATTATAATTATAATAACAACAAGAGCACTCAGAGAATGCAACACCCCCGGAATAGCAAGGGCTATACTAAAACTCTTTTATGATGTCTTTCGTTTTATGATGTTTTGATTACAGTACGATGACAACGGCTGATTATGGCTTCATTGTGACGCCCCAGGGCGTCGCATTGATCAAATAAAAAGTGTGTTGCACAGCTCTCCCCATGCCCTTTCATATGACACATTACTCAATATGGATTCTTCAAATTTGTTTTACAAGGTCAACTTTGACCTAAAATGCTAATGAAGGTCAACCCAAGTACTCATGTCTCCGAAAGGCTTCATATATTATTGTGAGGTTTGACCCATAAAAATGTTATTCCTTATTTCCTCCTTTGCTCTGATCTTTACAGAATTTTCAACAAAATGATATCAGCTTGAGCTGTTACTGGTATCTACCACTACGCAAAATTTGAAAAAATGATATCTTGCAAACTGTGGATGCTACGCTGCAAACATACAATTACATACTCCCTGCCTTCGAGGGGAGAATAAGTATTATTATTTCAACAGTTGTGACATAAAAAAATTCTTAAATTTGGGATTAATAAAGCATTTATTTTGCATAAATAGAAGGTAACTCAGTTTAGCTCATTATTTTCTGTCATTTGGCTTTTTCATCAGTTCGGTTTAACGTCATCATTGTCAAATATAAAATTCCATCCATCATCATCATCTTTTGCTTATCCGAGTTGCGGGGGAAGAGATATAATCTCTCCAGCGTGTCCTGGTTCTCCCCCGGGGCGTCCTCATGGTGGCACATGCCTGGAACACCTCACCAAGGAAGCGCCCAGGAAGCATCCTTATCAGATGCCCGAACTACGTCAACTGGCTCCTTTCAATGTGGAGGAGCAGCAGCTCTACTCTGAGCCCCTCCTGGATGGGCTGAATTGCTTGACCTATCTCTGAGGAAGAGGCCAACCACCCTTCGGAGGAAGCGCATTTCTGCCGCTTGTATCCGTGATCTCATTCTTTCAGTCAGTACCCACAGCTCGTGACCATGGGCGAAGGTAGGGACGTAGATCGACCGCTAAATTGAGAGCTTTGCTTTTACACTCAGCTCCCTCTTCACCACAACGGACTGGTACAGCCGCAGCATCAATCCGTCTGGCGATCTCCCACTCCCTTCTTCTTTCACTTGTGAACAAGATCCCGAGATACTTAAACTCCTCCACTTGGGGCAGGAGCTCATCCCTGACCTGGGGTGGGCACTCCAGCCTTTTCCAGCTCAGGACCATGGCCTCAGATTGATTGATTTTATGATTGTTTGCGCTGTGAAAACCATTAATGGATGATTGTTTTTATGTTATGTCTTATCATAGCATGTCGTTTTCACCCGGAGGCATTAGTGAGGAATGAGTAATGGACACAGTTACGCTGAATGAAGTCAGCGTGATTAAGAGACCATCAAACTGGTGCATTGCTCATATGGAAGAAAAGGGCAGGTGGACTAGCAGAGACTTGCAGGAAGGGAACATGATAATTGTTTAATTTAGAGGTACTTTTGGTTGTAAAATTATTAAAGTTATAAAAAAAACGTTCCTCTGTTTTTTTCATGTCTCACAATTGAAATCTTTACTCCTGTCATAGAGTTGCTCATAGAAAGGTTTTCACAGGTTTATTTCATAATTTCTTTTTGGTTTTCTTTTTTAGTTTAAAGAAAATATTGCATGTATGTAAATTACGGGTGACACAATGATGGAGTGGTTAGCACTGTCACCTCAGACAGGTTGGAAACTCAAATAGTGGCTTTCATGAAATTGTGTGGGGTTTGCAAGCTCTCCCTGTGTCGGCGTGGATGATAATGTGCTTGTAGAGGAAGTGAACGGGATGGGTTTAAATACCTGGGATAAATGATTCAAAGCAATGGACAGTGTATAACAGAGGTGAAGAAGAAAGTGCAGGCAGGATGGAGATTGTGATTGTATGGGTGATTTGTAACAAACCAAGAGGAGCATAAGTGAAAGGGAAGGTTTACAAGGTGATAGTGAGACCTTCTATGGTTTATGGTTTGTAGACTGTGGCACAGAAAGAAAATCAGGAGGGTGAGCAGACACGGCAGAATTGATCATTGGGACAGCTCAGTTTGAGTGGGTGGGAGACACAGTTAGAGAAAAGGCTCAGATTGTTTCCACATGTGCAGAGGAGGGATAGTGGATGTAAAATATGGAGCTGCGAGGCGAAAGTAAAGGAGGAAGACCACAGAGAAAGTTCGTGGATGTAATGAAGGAGGACATGCAGAGGGCTGGTGTGACAGAGAAGACTGCTATAGATAGGGAGGCAGATGATCTGCTGTGGTGAACCCTAAAGGGAGCAGCTGAATAAGAAAGAAAGAAACAGCAAAATAAATGCACAGAACATAGCACTGTATGAAAGTTATATATGAGTGAATGAGCTTATGGTACTGTTGGATTAAAAAAAATACTTTATTAAGTTTTAGCAAGTAACAAAGAGTCTGACACACATCCAAAAGAATGACCAGCCCACCCAACATCCCACTGCAGTCCTATTACATAGTTAACAAATTCACAAACATAAATAAATAAATAAGTTAACTTGTCATCAACAGCCATCAAGCTAACAATCAGAGATTCTGGGATATTACCGAGTACTCCAGAAGCAAGTATTTAAAGCCAGAAGGTGGATAGTGTAGACAGAGTGACCAGACCCTCAAAAACAATTTGTCATGACTCTTTATAGTCGCTTGTAGTCTTTCATGTGGAAGAGCATTAAAGATTTCCCAGTTCCCAATGGTAACACTAGAACCTTTAATCCAGTTGAGTGAAATACACTTTCTGGCAATTACAGGGAGTGCAGAATTATTAGGCAAATGAGTATTTTGTCCACATCATCCTCTTCATGCATGTTGTCTTACTCCAAGCTGTATAGGCTCGAAAGCCTACTACCAATTAAGCATATTAGGTGATGTGCATCTCTGTAATGAGAAGGGGTGTGGTCTAATGACATCAACACCCTATATCAGGTGTGGATAATTATTATTACAACGTCCTTTCCTTTGGCAAAATGGGTCAAAAGAAGGACTTGACAGGCTCAGAAAAGTCAAAAATAGTGAGATATCTTGCAGAGGGATGCAGCAGTCTCAAAATTGCAAAGCTTCTGAAGCGTGATCATCGAACAATCAAGCGTTTCATTCAAAATAGTCAACAGGGTCGCAAGAAGCGTGAGGAAAAACCAAGGTGCAAAATAACTGCCCATGAACTGAGAAAAGTCAAGCGTGCAGCTGCCAAGATGCCACTTGCCACCAGTTTGGCCATATTTCAGAGCTGCAACATCACTGGAGTGCCCAAAAGCACAAGGTGTGCAATACTCAGAGACATGGCCAAGGTAAGAAAGGCTGAAAGACGACCACCACTGAACAAGACACACAAGCTGAAACGTCAAGACTGGGCCAAGAAATATCTCAAGACTGATTTTTCTAAGGTTTTATGGACTGATGACATGAGAGTGAGTCTTGATGGGCCAGATGGATGGGCCCGTGGCTGGATTGGTAAAGGGCAGAGAGCTCCAGTCCGACTCAGACGCCAGCAAGGTGGAGGTGGAGTACTGGTTTGGGCTGGTATCATCAAAGATGAGCTTGTGGGGCCTTTTCGGGTTGAGGATGGAGTCAAGCTCAACTCCCAGTCCTACTGCCAGTTTCTGGAAGACACCTTCTTCAAGCAGTGGTACAGGAAGAAGTCTGCATCCTTCAAGAAAAACGTGATTTTCATGCAGGACAATGCTCCATCACACGCGTCCAAGTACTCCACAGCGTGGCTGGCAAGAAAGGGTATAAAAGAAGAAAAACTAATGACATGGCCACCTTGTTCACCTGATCTGAACCCCATTGAGAACCTGTGGTCCATCATCAAATGTGAGATTTACAAGGAGGGAAAACAGTACACCTCTCAGAACAGTGTCTGGGATGCTGTGGTTGCTGCTGCACGCAATGTTGATGGTGAACAGATCAAAACACTGACAGAATCCATGGATGGCAGGCTTTTGAGTGTCCTTGCAAAGAAAGGTGGCTATATTGGTCGCTGATTTGTTTTTGTTTTGTTTTTGAATGTCAGAAATGTATATTTGTGAATGTGGAGATGTTATATTGGTTTCACTGGTAAAAATAAATAATTGAAATGGGTATATATTTGTTTTTTGTTAAGTTGCCTAATAATTATGCACAGTAATAGTCACCTGCACACACAGATATCCCCCTAAAATAGCTAAAACTAAAAACTACTTCCAAAAACATTCAGCTTTGATATTAATGAGTTTTTTGGGTTCATTGAGAACATGGTTGTTGTTCAATAATAAAATTATTCCTCAAAAATACAACTTGCCTAATAATTCTGCACTCCCTGTAGAAGAAGCTTCTCCAGAAATCTGTAGTGTGCTAGGTGCAACTCGCTAGAGGGTAGACCTAAGAGGAAAACACCAGGATCTTTAAAAAAAAATAAAAAAAATAAAGAAGCTTATTTTAAACATTCCACTAATTTCCTTAGACATAACTTTCCAGAACCTGGAAATCAATTTAGACTCTTGTGCAAAACATCAGCGGTGATATGCAATCTGTGAACACTATTATACTGAGTCTCTTGCATATGAAGGTACATTTGATCAGGGTTATAGCTTCCTGCCAGTCATCCTCTATTTATTCTGTGCCTAAATCCTTCCCCCACGTATGAGCAATATTTACAGCTCACATCAGAGGAACAGAGAAGGAAGTAGACTAGTGCAGCGGTCCCCAACCCCCGGGCCTCGGACCGGTATCGGTCCGTGTGTCGTTTGGTACCGGTTTTCAGGGTTTTTATCGGTTTTCAGCGTTATTTTGTTATCGTTTTTATCGTTAACTTGGTTTTCCTGGGTCTTTTCACGTGTGTTATGAATAAATCTTCTTTTTTTCGGTACCGGTACTAGTTTTATTTTGTTGTATTTATCCGCGACACCTTAAAGGCCGATATTGTCGGGCATAAATGGTGGTGCAAAAAATGTTGAGGGCCGCTGGACTAGTGAAATAAAATGTCTCCCAGTTTGGTGATATTGTTCAATTTATGGTGTGACACTTTTATATGATTTGTACTGTCTTGATAGCATCTTGTCCATAAAGACAGTAACCAGTATAGTGTAGATATCTATCACTGCAAACACATGAAATTGATGTAGAATTCCAGATTATGCCTCATAAAAAGAATCTCTAAAGCCTAAAAGCACCTTTAGAAAAAGTTAGGGGGAACCTCGACACAAAATACGGACAACGTCATGGCCGTGAATGCCTGCGATTGAATGTCGATAAAAGGGGAACCCCTTGTCATCAGGAGGGCTGTCTTTAACCTGCTTCTACACCCCTGTGGCGACCGTCCAATGTCACATTCACAGTTAATACCGTGCAACCCAAATTACAGCCAGTAGAGATATTATTAGTTTATCAAAATATATTATTTAAATATTGCTATTGAGGTGCTTTTAAAACGCGAGTAAACTGTGTATCTATTTTTATATATCACTATTATCCAGACTGGCGTCAGCCATTTTTAAACATTTTAAATGCCTTAATTTTTAATCGCTACCTCGGTCGCTCGGACAGTGGAGTAGTTTGTCTGGAAAAGCCACATAAAAAAACGCGGAGTCATTTCCCCTTTCGAAGATCACTCAGCGATTCCCTCAGTTTTCCCTCGGCTACTGTACTTGCAAAATAGTGCGCCCTGCTGTCTCTATTGCGCATGACTGTACGTCGTAATATGAAGTAGGCCTCCTGTTTTTCTCCCCAACCCGAAGTCCTCCTGGCCCCCACCACCTCGCTGCAACGCTCACAAGTAAGCAAAACACGGAGGCTGCTCTCGATTATTCGTCAAGGTAAGGGTTTTTAATGCATACGCGAAGCTGGTGGCGGTTACCGATCGTGAAATAGCACGGCAGCCGTGGTTTGTAGACGGTGTTTTCGGCGTGCGGAAGCGGTCGGACTGCAGAGCAGGCTTCGGGACTGTTTCCGCACGCTTGAGGGAGAGCAAGGCCCAGTGACCCACATTTGGAGCAGCCAGTGTCTATGTGTAAGAGTGGGCGAGCGCGTGCGCGTATCCTTGCCAGTGTGTGTGTGTGAGCCCGCGCGCGTGCTCGGGCACAGTGTATGTATGTATGTGTGTATGTACATCTGCCGCGAAAATGTTTCCACCGTCGTTGGTTTTATAGATGTGTCTCCGCGGTGGATAGGCATGTTTTTGTCGGCTTACGCGAGGACCTTGCCCCGCGCGGATGTTCATGCGCGGCGTTTGTGGACCCGACGGTAATATTTTAGATTATTTCATCTTCAGTGTCAGTTGTTGCGTGACAGCTTCGGGCTCGGCGCCAGCTTGCTATGATAGACATATTTTTCCTCTTGTTTATTTTTGACAAATGTGAAATGCTTTACCCGTGAGTGTCATTCAGTGTTTTCGGAGTGTGAGCATGAGGAAACTGGGGCAGTAAGAGCATTAAATCTCTGAGTTAAATTGGCAGTTTTCGGTAGCAAGCTTAGTTAGCCTGCTAGCTAGCTATATGGGTTGCTCTCTTTTAGGTTGTATAACTAACACCTGTGGCATTAAATTGTATATGTTAAACGCTAGCTTGCCTTATCTTATGGCTCGTTGCTGTTTTGGGAGACGGAAAAACATTCGGTCATGTTGCTCATATGAGAGTTAATTCATTGGGAATGGTTTACAACGTCTTCGTCCAATGAAGAAGCTCAGTTTAACGAGGCTTCACTTATTGGCCATGAAGAGAACACCAAGTGCAGGTCAGCATCCCGAAATATAGCCTTGGGACCACCAGTGTGATCTCCTTATGATGGTTTTATACACATGAGGGAGATATGAGAGGGAATCTCCTCTAGTATGCTGTCCGCAGTTGTTAGTGTAGTCTTCGTGACCTCTCTGCCCACACTTATATACAGCAAAATCCTCTTAGAAGGCGTTGATTAAGTGGTGGTCTGTTGTCCCTGTGACGGTGGGACTACTTGACGAGTTTGGAAGCGACTCCTATAGACTAATCTTTTAAGCCTTTAGCAAATGCTGAAATTGATTATTCGACTCTTGTGCATGAGTTTGCTTGTTGAAAAAAGCACTAACACTCACAAGTTATTGCTGTTCAGTTGTGGTGCTGGTTGGTGTTAATGTAAAGAGTAAATCTTTAGACTGTTGTTTTTAATAAAAAAGAAAACGCACACTGAGCATTGATGCGAAGACTAGATTGGTCATAACAGTTTGAGAATCAAAACAACAGAACTGTTGATTAACAGGAAAACAATCAGCAACTACTCTAAGTCATCACCAGTCATTTTTCATGGCAAAATGCCATGGTTATATTGGGTCCAGCACCTCAATTGTGATCATATATCTCTGTAAAATGATTGGACTGTTGCTGAGATAATGGGGTATTTGTTGTTAATTTTTTATTTTTTTTATATGAAAGTAGTATTAAATCCATTTTACTTTTAACCGTTTCTTAGACAGAGCAGACTTGTTTTTGGTGTTTTAGTGGTATGACAAATCTATGTGTAAAAGCTGATTACTTGCAGCTCAGGTTTCCTGTTTTGTACTTTGCAGCAACTAACATCTGCATTTTTCGGGTGACTTCTAGAATTTCTGTGCATGGTAAACAGTGGGTGTATGTTTGTGTTGCAGGTGAGGTGTGGTTTGCACACACAAGATTTGTCAGCAACTCAAAGGCTACGATCTCAAATAGCTAATTATACCAACAAGTGACATTCCAGAAGGTAAGTTACATGATGTAAAACTATTGTAAGTGCAGAAGTAAATTTCATTTCAGGGTATTTTTTTTTGTATTGATTTATGTTATTCACACTTTGAAGATGCTGCCGCATGTTATACTGTAATTTAATAATCTTAATTCATAAAATACATTTATGTCCATAATGTATATTGTACCAAAATTAAAAGGAAGAAACTGATTTTAAAGGGGGAAAAAAGAATAAATAAAAATAAATCTTGGTTTAAGAAATGGCAGACAGTGCACTAGGAGATGGTTATTATGTTTCCAAACTCTCTGGTTGGTCTCCCCATGACCATTAGTTTCTGCTCTGATTTCTCCAGCAGGTTTGCTTGACCACCATGTCCTTCCTGTGGCCTGGTGCCCTCTCATGACCCCAATGACATCAGCTCCACTTTTGACCCCAAACCCCTTCTACAACCCCCTGAGAAAATACGTTAACTGAGCACGTGCATAGGCTGCAGTGAGGTGAGAAGTTAACACACAGACACACAGATTTAATCTGGTGCATGGAAAAGTGTTTATTAAATGTCAGAAATTTTTATTATTTAGTGTGTGCATGCATGTATGGAGATGTAACTGTGTTTTTTTTTTTTTAAAAGAAAGGAACTAGTTAAGAGAAAAGATATGATCTGCAAATGTTATGGTTAGAAAAGGGACTACCCTTTCAGGCTTTCACTTCAAAGCCCCATTTAGTGCCTTCATATACAATATGAAAAATAACTAGGAGTTAAACTAATAAACTACCTGCTCTTTTTGTCTCAACAGGTGGTCTTCCAAATGCCTACCTCACGCCTAAAGAACAAATCACTGCAGCCACAGCCCTGATTAGCAGCCACCATGACATCAAGCATGGGGTATAATGCTGCACACAACACCTCAAAATGTTGTGTCTGCTGTATACAGAATATGTTCATAGTCACATGTACAAAATCACAAAATATATGTATATAACATCTGGCTCAAAAATTAAAACTCATTATTTTAACTCTTTATATTTCTTTACTTTTGAAAGAATATTTTTTCATTTAAAGAAAGAAAGTTATGGATAGCATCTATGAGTCCCCATCAAATGATTTTTTTGACCTATATTAATTGAAACGTAGTACACAAATGCGCTTAATCTTCTTGGCAAACAAAACACATTCCTTCTACTGCTCTCTCTCGCTCTCTCTCTCTCTCTCACCCGTTTTCTGTGTGACCCAAAAATAAACCTGCTGCTGGCATGTACAATAGGAATTCTCTCATTAGCCAACATCAGTCATTGGTTATTATTAACAATGCATACCTGCCTTCAAGGCCACCGCACATGCAGGAAAACGTAAACAAGTAAGTCTTGAAAGCTGTGAATGGCTGTAAATATGTTTGCTTTCTTCCTTCTTTAGGGATGATTGTAGCATCTTTGATGGGTTGATGGAAGAAGATGAAAAGGACAAAGCAAAACGGTAAGATAAACATGCTGGAGAGGAGATTAGTCTAGTATGGACTTAAAAAAGTCATAGAATATTGATTAAACATGAGTTAGTACATTTTTGTTAATACACAGTGTCAGAGCTGACTTTGTCCTAATGCCATTCACACAACAGTCATTCTGCCTTGACTTTCACATAACCAGGGACACTTATAATAAAGTTACATTACTATTTTTTTAAAGGTTGTGTTTTTAAAGTCCAGTCAAAACACTGGATGAAAACAGAACCAAATAAAATGTCTTAAACCTTCTATTTCAAAACTATTTTTGCTTGCAGCGTGTCCCGTAACAAGTCTGAGAAGAGACGGCGAGACCAGTTCAATGTCCTCATCAAGGAACTCGGCACAATGTTGCCTGGCAACACTAGAAAGATGGACAAGTCCACCATCCTGCAGAAAAGCATCGACTTCCTGTGTAAACACAAAGGTCAGAGCTTTCTGCCGTGCTCGTCTCACTTCCTGTTTTTGCTAAACACCTCACAGGGTGGATGTTTTTTGTATATTTAGCTTGATCATTCCGATTTAGCCACACTTATCAGGGTTTGCTTACCTTCATCACTAGAAAGCGAAAGCATGTTTTTATTGCCTTTTTATGAGACATTGGTGCTGGAATTTTACATTACAAAATGGTAACTATTTGAACCAGTTGTGTATTTTTGACCTAACAAGTTATTCTTAAAGTAAATCTACCTTTATGTCTTTTAATAATTATAAGGGTTTCAGCAGTTTTAACTTTTTATGAATACTGATATTGTGTTTATGTTAAATTATTTCATCACTGTTTATAGGTCAATGATCCTTTTGTTTTTATCTAGTGTCATTGACTTGCAAGATAATAAAATACCAGCTTCCGCCTAGTATGTTTTTAACTGTCTTGTTTTCATACTGGACATAGCAGTCTCAAAACATTTTTCCACCCAGTTGTTTACTGTTAACTTTATGCTGTTTTTGTTGTCTTTTTACATGCCCTCACCTCTCGTGCTCTTATTCTTCCTCGACGTTTTCCACTATGTCTGTATTAAGTTCTGACTGAATTCTCTGTCCTTCACCAGAGATTGCAGCTCAGTCTGAGTCAAGTGAGATCAGGCAAGACTGGAAGCCTCCATTTCTTAGCAATGAGGAATTCACCCAGCTCATGCTGGAGGTCAGAAATCTTAGGTTTCGTTCTGTAATCCTGTTTGTTGTGTAAAAACACAGGCACTTGACCCACAGTTGTATTAATGCAGTGGTCAGTGTCACCTCATTTTGTACAGTATAGTTATATCTGAAGTTAAATTTACAATTTTAAGTTTGTCCTTATGGGATTTGACACTGTTTTTATTTTTATTTTTTATTTTTATTTTTTAACAGGCTCTTGATGGGTTCTTTATAGCAATAATGACTGATGGCAACATCCTCTACGTGTCTGAGAGTGTCACTTCACTACTAGAACACCTCCCGGTAAATCACCTCCCCCTGCAACCGTGTCTGTATTAGTCATACACTTTATTATAACAAAAGCTTTCATAGGATCTTTTGTGTGGTTCAGATTAAACATGTCAGGCTGACCAGTGTGTATTGAAAAGGGCTTGTCTTCATTTGTATTCCTCTTGAATGTGTGTGTGTGCCTGTGTGTGGGTGTTTTATCAGGCGGATTTGGTGGACCAGAACCTGTTAAACTTCCTGCCGGTTGGGGAACACTCCGAAGTGTACAAGGCTCTGTCCACACACCCCTCTGAGCTAGAGAACCTTAGCACTGATTACCTAAAGTGTGAGTAACACACCGTCATCTTGTACCATAAAACCTGCTTATTTGAAATGATATGGTTTACAATTTTTTTTTTTGTATGTCTGATGATTAAACAGGATTATTTATTATTATCAGATTAAAAATGCTCACAAGTAAAAGTATTTCTCAAATAAATTGATAAATAAATAATGTTAAAAAGGATTCAAATTTCATAAACGTCACCATAGTGTGAAGACGCGGCTTGTCAGAGTGAAGCTGCTGGACTGGACATGAACTTTGTGGAGCACATGAACAGCATGTTTTTACAAGCAGTTGTATTTTTTTTTCCTTGGTAATTATAATCTCTTTTTCTTTTTTGTCTCCAGCTAAGAATCACATGGAGTTCTGCTGTCATATGCTGCGAGGGGCCATTGACCCCAAAGAATCCCCTGTTTATGAATATGTTAAGTTCATCGGCAACTTCAAGTCTCTCAATAACGGTATGTCCCTCGCACTGCATGTGAGGAATTTCAGAAGATGTTTTTTTTTTTTTTAAATACTATTTTCCAAACAAGCTTGCATGTATAGATACAAACTAGCAATAAACTTGTGTGTTAAACCCATTAAATGTTAAAGTCAAAAAGTGGAAAATAAGCATATTTTTAAGATATCAATCATTTACTAGCCTAGAAAGATATTATTCTGTGTACTGCTCTGTGAACCACATTTTATATTCTTTGACATGCTGAGTAAGTAACACTGTTGTGCAGTTCCCAATGTGACTAGGAACGGTCTGGCAGGGGTGTTACAGCGGTCGCTACAACCTGCCTTTGATGACCAGGTGTGCTTTGTAGCCACGGTCCGGCTAGCTAAGCCTCAGTTTATCAAGGTATTATTCAGACATGAACTGACTTTACTCATTAGACTGTTATGTATTTATTTGTCAATTAGCTATTAATTATCTCTCAAAACATCTAATTTTCACAATTTTATTTTCATAGGAAATGTGTACGGTGGAGGAGCCCAATGAAGAGTTCACATCGAGACACAGTCTAGAATGGAAATTCCTCTTTTTAGACCATCGGTAGGCAGATCTAGTTCTTCTCCTGTATACTCAATCACAACGGGTTGTTGGGTGGTTGAGTTGCACCCACATGGCTGCTGTCTTATATAGATGGCTGAAACACACATTCACACACTTTATGATTGGTCAGTTTAGCAAATGTGAGACTTTATTCATGCATCTAACCTCTTAAGTTCTGTCTTCATTCATTATTGACAAATTTAAATGTGAACTAGAGGATAGTACGGTCTTTTTCCAGGTCATAGTTCAAATATGTTTCATTTCAGTTCTTCACAAACTGTGTTCTTGTTCTTCAATTTATTTCTCCATTGAGATCTTCCTCCACACTTCTAGTTTCACTTTTCAGGACACTAGAAGTTAAGAAATCATAGAAAATAAATAAACAAATCATAAATAAAATAAATGAGGGCGGCACGGTGGTTAGCACCGTTGCTGCACAGCAAGAAGGTCCTGAGTTCAATTCCACCATCAGGCCGGGGTCTTTCTGTGTGGAGTTTGCATGTCCTCCTCGTGTTTGCGTGGGTTCTCTCCGGGTACTCCGGCTTCCTCCCACAGTCCAAAAACATGCAGTTAGTGGGGATAGGTTAATTGGTCAATCTAAATTGCCCATAGGTGTGAATCTGTGAGTGAATGTGACTGGTTGTCTGTGTCTCTATGTGTTAGCCCTGCGACAGACTGGCGACCTGTCCAGGGTGTACCCCGCCTCTCGCCCTATGAAACCTGGGATAGGCTCCAGCACCCTCCGCGACCCTGAAAAGGAGAAGCAGAAGCGAATGGATGGATAAATAAAATAAATAAATGTACATGAAAACAAAGCGTTTCTCTAGAAAAAGTATCCGTTCAGCAATTTTACATCAGAGTAAGAAAATTCTTTTACCTTTTACAGAGCGCCACCGATTATAGGCTACCTGCCTTTTGAGGTTTTGGGGACATCAGGGTACGACTATTACCATGTGGACGACCTGGAGACGCTAGCGAAATGTCACGAACACTGTGAGCACTTACTTTAAGTCAAACTAGCAAAAATCTTTTGTAAAAGCCTTTTTCTGAGTGTTTTTGGTAACATCTTTGGCTTTTTCTGCCCCGCTTCTGTTCAGTAATGCAATATGGTAAAGGGAAGTCATGCTACTACCGTTTCCTGACGAAAGGTCAACAGTGGATCTGGCTGCAGACACACTACTACATCACCTACCATCAATGGAACTCTCGACCTGAGTTTATTGTCTGCACGCACACAGTAGTCAGGTACAAGTATGTTTATTTTATTCCCCTTTTCCAGAAGATTGCTGATCACTGGACTTTTTCAGGAACAATGTTGAGTTTGTGTTAACAAAAGACTCTTTATGTATCTATTTTTATAATGTTTTTATTGGTCAACCATCTTCTCAAACCCCCCCCCCCCCCCTTTTTTGTTTGTTTTTGTTTTTGGTCTAAAATGCAGCTATGCAGAGGTGAGGGCAGAACAGCGCAGAGAGCTCGGCATCGAGGAGGCAAATCCAGAAGTCACTGCAGATAAGGTGAGAGATAAATAAAACATGTAGCACGGTCCTTATAATTCCAAACATGTCAAGCACAGGAGTAAAATTTAGTCTAAAAACAATGTTGTGGTAGAAGTTGTTGCGTAAGACTAACTGAAACAGATGAAAGCAAAAATACCAGAAATATATTACATGTTGAAGTACAATATTCAGCTTCATTAGGAGCTGTTACAATGTTAGATTATGAAATTTATGCTTCAGATTTTCTGCTGGTACCTCAATTACCTTTTAGGCCTGTAATTTCCACTTGTATGCACTCCATTAGATACAATGGATAGGCTTTCTTGTTTTTTTTAAATCTTTGGTATTTTCTTATTTTTCCAGAGTCAAGACTCTGGCTCAGAGTCACAGCTCAATACGTCCAGCCTGAAGGAGGCACTGGAGCGATTTGACCACAGTAGAACACCTTCGACTTCCTCGCGGAGTTCCCGCAAGTCCTCATCGCATGTGTCTGACAACACCTGCACTTGTAAGGACACCCACAGTTGCACAAGTAATGTGACATACACTGACATACTGTTAAGGGGAGGTGGTGACATATCCTCTCTGTATTAAAATTCAGTGGCTAACTCCTGTAGTAAAGTGATATCATCTAAAAATAACCATTGACCACCAATTACTTTCTCTGCAGCGACAGCTCCCAAGTTACACATGGACACGGCCACGCCCCCTCGGCAATCATTAGCATCCACCATGGAGATGACATCACAGCGCCGGTCATCTATCAGCAGCCAGGTGAGACAGGACACAGCTAGCTAATGCATAGAAAATCCTTACAAAACTACTTCTGGCCATAACTAACACAGAAATTGGTCCAGAAAACACTGTTTTCTTTTTTGTTTTATGGATTGGCATATCTGGTTCCTGGTGGAACTTTTGTGCTTTACTATTTCCTGAAGCTTTCTTACGTAATCTGAGCACTAAGCGCAGACAAACGCTTCCGACTTCAAGAACAGTGTTAATTCTGCTGACTAATAAATAATAAGTAAAGTGCTATACAAATGCAGGCCATTTACTATTTTAATAATTTTCATCATAGTTTTTGTCAACAACCTGTTTCTCCCTGACGAAAACAAAATCACTAAAATAAAAACGAATGCCTGAGGATAAAAACTGCGATGAAATCCACGGACACTTGTACCAACGAATAAAAACGAGATGAAAATGTTCTGAGAGGCGGGGCGAGTTTTGGAAGTGATCCTGTCAGTATTCTCTGTGTACATCAAGGTTGGATGCACAGAATTTGATCTGCCCTCAACAAACAGGGTGTGGAGGAAGCTCCCATGCCTCTGTTTCTCATGAAAACATGACAAAATTTAGAGCAGACATATGGACACATTTCGCTTTTTAAGTCTGGGAAAATAAGATGCTTTGCAAACCTTGTGGAGTAAAAACACAAACTTTTACACTTTATATTTTAGGCAAAAAAATCAACTTCACATTTAGGTTTTGATAATCTTGTGATATGTAGTTGACCCTAAACTTAGATCCCTAAATTATAACTAAAACTAAATGACTCTTCAGGCAAAAATTCTAAAAAAATTGCTGTCACAAAAACACTTGTTAAAGACAGAGAGCTAAACCAGAGTTACAGTGAAGGCCTGAAAGAGCATCACTGGGGAAATTATAAAGCATCTTTTCAGCTGCTTAAAGTCTGGGCTGTACATAAAACCTGTACGCGAGTTTAAATTTCCATCATATCACATTATGTTGAATGTGACCTGATTTTACCACCATAATTTTCAATACATGTAATCAAATTTCTCAGCTACAGTTTTGATTTCAAACTTCAATGGAGAGCAACGGGCAAGGTTAATATGCAGATGAGGTTTCAGTAGGCCAGCGGTTAGCATCAAGACAGTACTGCAGTGTTAGCTGGGATGGTGAGAGGTTCATTGTTTTGCATCTTCACTTCAACAATCTTTCAATCAAAAATACATAATTACCATAAAATCTGTGTTTTTCAACTTACTAAAGTTGGTGTGCTTTGAATGGGCGTTAAGCGGCGTCAAAACTCAGAGATGTGCGTCGCACTGTTGCCTCACAGCAAGAAAGTTCCTGGTTTAAACCTCAGCTAGGGACTTTCTGTGTGGAGTGTGCATATTTTCTCTGTTCCTGTGTGGGTTTCCTCCGGGTAGTCTGGCTTCCTCTCACAGTCCAAAAACATGAATACTAGGTTAACTGTTATTCTAAATTTTCCTGTGTAGATGTATGCATCTGTAAAATTAGAAAAACACTATATAAATGCAACTGTATTTCAGTTTTAAGTCTTGAACATGTGCATATAAAGTGGTGTAATACAATGGAAAATTCATGCCTGTAATCATAGTTTTTGTTTTCATTATATTTGCAGTCTATGAGCTCTCAGACTACAGGGCAGAGTGTAGCTCCTGGTATGATCAATCAGCAGCAGCAGCAACAACAGCAGCAGCAACAACAACAACAACAACAGCAACAGCAACAGCAACAACAGCAACAACAACAACAGCAGCAGCTCCAGACAAATGTGCAGGTGAGACATAATTATGTGGAGAAGAGCTCAAATGGTTTGTTGACAACAGGTTAATTGGTGACAAACGTTTTTTCAAATGCTTGTATAATGTGGACTCTGAGGTCTTGGACCTTGTGGCATTTAATTAACTGTGCAACCCAACTATGGAGTTCGATTAGCCAGTGTATCCTAATTGCATACACATTGCACAGCTTGTTCTTTTTCTCTCCGTCTGCAGCCAGTGATGGAGTTCTCAGCGCAGGTGAATGCCATGCAGCACTTAAAGGAGCAGCTGGAGCAGAGGACCAGAATGATCCAGGCTAACATTCAGCGGCAGCAGGAGGAGCTCAGACACATCCAGGAGCAGCTGCAGAGAGTCCAGGGGCAGGGTATACAGGTAGGCTGTAGATGCGTATGCAAGATTACTTTTAGGTCAGCACTGCTTTATGACATAAAAGCCTTTTCTTACGGCAGGTGTGTTTAAGTCCACTTTACTCAGTGTCTATTTATATCTCTAGTGCAACTTACCTTGTGTCATCCTCTATTACTTTGCTTTATTTCTCTCTATTCATAACTCTTTCTTTGTCTTCATGTCGAAGTTAACATCTGTATATTGAGAAAATGGTGTGTATGACTGCACCTAGTGTTTACAGCAAAATAAAATTAATTATAACAATAAACCAACAGGGTGGATTCTGTTGACAGGATACAGATAGAGCCAAGGAGTAGTATTAATGTAATATTTTCCACATGTGGAAAAAAAATCATTTAATCGAACAAGAAATGTGACCTCTGTTCAGACCAAGTAGGTGAATGCTGTACCTGGTTTTGCTTGACCTAGATCAGGACTGGAATCCTGCATGCATTATATATTTCTTCTATTCATAGAAAACAGTAAACTGCCATCTCCTGATTGTGTAAAGATAATTTATTTCTGTTGATTATTCTGTTGTCACGCACAGATTTGGTAAAAGTAACACACACACATTGTAAATCTCCTTACTATCTGAATGTGGCCTGACGTTTCATGTGTCCATTCTAATAGATGTTGCTGCAGCAGCAGGGTGGACCCATGAATGTACAGCTTCCTCAAGTAGGATCAGTCCAGCAGACAACTACGTTGACCAATCAGGTCCAGCAAACAATCCATTCGGGAACTCAGCAGCTCACCATCCAGCAGCAGGCTCCTCCCACTCAACAGAGCTTACAACAGCAGACCAACACCCTTACGCAGGTGCGATACCGGCAGACACACGCAAGCAGACAGGCTATGGAAATACTATGAAAATGGTTTTGAAAGTTCCGATCAGATGAAAATGTTTGTCTGTTTCTTTTGCATGTCCATGATTTTGTCATTTCCTTTTAATCTCAGAAGTTGCCTGTGTGTGCATGTAGTCTTCTTTCAGTGTTCTCTGTGAACAATAATCTTACCTAAATTTGGGACAGTATTAGTCACTTTTATGCAGATATTACAGTGCTATGCTGTGAGGATAAAATGTTAAAATCTCATGCTGTTTGCATTTTTAATAATGTGACACTTTAGGGGTCACTCAGTGGTAGTGGAGGCTTTCATTAAACCCCGCCTTTCCTCTGAATAGACACAGTTTAAATTTCCATGTTGTGAATTATTGATTATCTCATGCAATTTTGAAGTCAGCTCAAAATGGTGAGTGTGACAGCAGCAAGACATTTCACCGATTTCATTTTTGTGTCTCAAAGTTAGAAGACACAAAACTTACGAAAAACCACTTTGACTTACATGCTGATTTATTTTGTGTTATGTGTAAATTTCACACATGACAGCGTAAAAGTGGGGAAAGTGAAACTGGAGAACGAATCCACAGAAAATCTTTAAATAATCTTGTTAATGCTTCGTTAATTTAAAAGACAATGTCATGGCCTTTGCTGTTGCTCCTCTGTAGCCCCAGCGTCAGACTCAGCAAGCTTCTCAGCCTCAGCCCCAACCTCAACCCCAGACCCAGGGCTCTGTATCTGCTCCTTTATACAACACAATGATGATTTCCCAGCCAGGACAGCCAAATGTGCTGCAGATCAGCACCAGCCTGCCGCAGAATAACACCCAGCAAGGCACAGCTGTGGCCACTTTCACCCAGGACCGACAGATCCGGTTAGTGCAGAACAATCGAACCTGATTCCCATTATAATGACAATCTGACAGTTTGTACATTTGAAAAGCTGATATTTACTATGATGGATAAATCTATCTATTTCTTTCTCCAGCTTCCCAGCAGGGCAGCAGCTTGTGACCAAGCTTGTGACAGCTCCAATGCATGCATGTGGTGCAGTCATGGTTCCCACTTCTATGTTTATGGGGCAGGTGGTTACCGCATACAACCCATTTGGGAGCCAGCAGGTAAACACAGTTTGAATGAAGTCTGTTTCTTTTGTTTTACCTCTCTCTGTCTAAGATCAAAACTATTTGGAGTGAAGCCCATTTAAATAATTATATCTGAGCCACTCAGGGCTGACAAACTGCTCCTGGCATAGTAAAATGTGTGTTCTTTAACGCTTGGTGTAATGATTCTGGCACAGTAGCTTTGAAAATGCTCGTTAGCAATAATTTTCTAGGTGTTTGTAACTGAAATGAAAAGGGGAGGGGGGAAAAAGACTAGTTAACGCAACAGTGTGGGTCTGGAAGTATTTAACGAAGAGATTCAGGATGATAGAAAAAGTATTTTGGGTTTTAAAAAAAAAAACAGCATAACCCTTTTAATAATTAATTGAAACTCAAAAGCACGCTTGAAAAACCAAAGACTTGCAGGTTGTTGGGTAATTACTTAAATAATGAAAAAATGGCACACATCTTAATAATTGATAACGATAAAACTAAGAGTAGCTGCTCATTCACCCTGAAAGCAGTAAGTGAGTGAACTTTTTAATTCATTTTTATTCCTTTACCTCAACATATTCCCTTTGTTAACCCTCTGTACCACTTCAGCAAGGGGGGCAGACCCAAACGCTGACTCTGCAGCCGGCCCAAGCACCTCAAGGACAACCAGACGGCCAAAACCAGACAGCTGTAGTGGCACAAAGCAACCAGCAGGGGCAGCAGCAACAACAGCAATTCCTACAGGTATCACTAGAGGGCAGAAGATGTCATTGATTTAAAATATTGTAGAGGCATGGTATGATAGGATAGCATTCATGTTTAATTTTACTGTACAGATATTTCATTTTTATGATATTGCGAATAATTATGAAATTATATGAAGTGTGTCTTAAGTGTACGGAGTGTCATTTACACTTGTAAATGTTTAAGACTTTCAGTGACACTAGAGAATGAGCAGAGGGAGAAGAATTTCCTTCATTGTCTAATATCATTGCATTGTCTTGCTGCCAGGGCCCTCGTCTTCTCCACAACAACCAGTCTACGCAGCTGATCCTGCAGGCAGCTTTCCCACTCCAACAGCAGGGAACCTTCACCCAGGCAACACATCCACAGCAGCAACAGCAACTGCAGCAGCAACAACAACCGCAGCAACAGCAGCAACAACAATCTCACCACCAGAGGCACCAGCAGCAGCTTAAACCACAGCCCCAGAAACAGCAGAAAGCCCCGTCATCGCACAGGACTGACGCTGTCAGCAGCCAACAGCAGTGAAGCGAGGAGGGGAGTGTGTACAGCGAGAACATGTGGGGAATTGGAACTCTTAAGGGATTGTTGCATACGTTTGTTTTTTTTGTTTGTTTGTTTTTCCCCCCCCGAAATCGTTCCTTCATCTGAAAGAAACAAATCATAGGAAAGAGGAAAATGAGTCCACAAGGAACTCACCAAAAGACTGTCACCATGGCAACAGGATGGATTCAAATCCCCATTTCCTCTCATGAGAAGCAGTGTTGTGAGGGAAGCTTCAGTTTCCGTGAAAACCTGAATTAATTACTTTATGGTCACTTTTTTTGTTTTTTGTTTTTTTTCTGAGAAGCGTGTCAAAGCGAACTGGCCTTGTACAGATTTACTGTATGATACAAACAAAAACTTGTAAATATCCACCATAGCCTAACAGAAAACAGAAATGTAGTATTTTATATGATTGCATGGAAAAAATAACTGTGTAAGCTTTTATTAGTTGCTTTAAAAACAAACAAAAAAAAAACCAACATAACTTTTTACTTTGGTCAAGTGTGGTCAAAGATGGAGCACTGACTCCTCTTAGACCTCCCCGCTCTACCACCACCACCACCACCCCTCCCAGGAAAAAAAAATTAAGTCCAGAACAAGGTTTTAAAGTTCTGAGTGTTTTAAAAAATGGTTGGGCTTGGGTGTTTTTTGTGGAAGTTGTTTTTTGAACACTGTGTCTCTGAGACAAAAAAAGGCTCTCTTTCTAATTACAGATCATGTTTGGCAAGAAACTAGATTACAGTTTAACTGTATTATTTACAGGATAATTACTGTACATATGACGGGTTTAGTGATTCCAAGTGCCAATAACATAGTCAAAATTTTTTTTACTTTAAATTTCAAACAGACTATTCAAAGGCCTATATTTTCCAACAAGATATTACCCCTATTAAAATTAATGCGTGTGTATATAGTAGGGATTATTTTTTAAAAGTTAAAGAGCCCTATATGTAACAAAACAGTATATCCTCAAGCTCCTCAACTTTAGCACTTAACGTGGTTGTGTACGATAAATCACTGTCGACCCTGTTGTTTGTAATCTGTGGTGTGATTCTTTGAGCTAATGAGTGTTTCTGAGAAAACAATCTTTGTGTGAATGAGTGAACACGAGTGTCTGTGGCTGGTGTGTGTGTGTGTGTGTTGCCCCTTGTGTCTTACAATAATTGACTTAGTAAAGGGTTTGAAGTTGTTGGATGGTACTTGTATTCTCAGGAATGTGGAAAGTTTTTGCTTCTGCCTCAGTCTGGAACCAGACCAGAAGGATTAGACAGTGATGCTGCAAAGACCATAGGAAGAAGATTCATAAAGGAAGTGGTGACTGAATCAAATTTGCCCCAGATTTCTTTAGAGCCTTCGTTGTTTTTTTATCAAAGCATATAAAAATATGCTGGTGGGTTTTTTTTGTTGTTTTTGTGGGGGTAGATGTTGAGACGCAGTAGAGCAGAATTGCAGAGAAATCCTTCTGTTGTCACTCTTATTGGAATAGGCTAACCTCACGCTACCCAAGCATCTGAATTTCAGCTGACTATCTTAAGGTCTCCTGTATCATCAGTGTTTCGTCCTTCTTCCTAGGCCTCAGAAAACCTCATGCAGTCCAGTTCACTTGACTCTCGGTTCTCAAATAGCAGTCAAAAACCAGGACAGGGTCCCGCTCCACTTTAAATGGTTTGGGCTCAGCCTGTGTACTTCAGTGATTAAGCCATATCATACAGAAAAGCCTTGGTTTGGAGGAAGTGAAATGTTGGCAAAGGAGCATTTAGAATGTGTTTTGTCTCAGAGTGTAGTAAAAGTGTGCATGTGGGTTTGTGTGAATATAACATCTCCTGTCCTTGATCCTACTTCTTATATCACTTGGGGGTCAGTATTTCTTTCCCCTGGCGATAGCCAATCAGTTCTTGCGTTGCAGTATAAAGGAATTGTAATTTTCAAGGAACGTCTGCTCTCGTTGGGCGCAATATTGTGCGAGCCCGTGTGTGGGACGGCTCAACTTGAATATGTTTGTGTGAATGAGTCTGTGTGCATGTTAGCTGTCGCTTTATCCCAGTATATTTTCATGCACAGAAGTGTGACTGGAAAGTGGTTATTAGGCATTGCAGAGCACTGGTCACCTGCCAGGCTAAAGAAGATGGGTATTGTTCTGCAATAACAGACTGCTCACAGTGACTGTAGTACTATCTGACAAGTCTCAAATGTTAACCCTTGGACATGAGCTTAACTTAGACTAAATTGCTGTTAGCGGGGATAAAACCTCATTTCTTGTTTTCCCCCATACAAATAAGGAATAGTGGCGAGATTACACAGTGAGGGCTTTAATATTTGAATCAGGTCTTCCACTCGTCTCACATTAATTGTTTGTCCTGTATAGATTAGTGTGTTTGTGTGTGCGTGTGTGCGTGCGTTTTAAGGCATCTCTAAAGGGTAATGAAATGTTTATAGTTTGTGTCACTGATACCCAGCCCAAAGAATGTAATGGTGTTTTAAAGAGACTAATGGATGTTGTAACTGTGCGCCTGTTTGACAGGCTTTATGATGAAGGAAATGGAGGGGTGTGAACGAAACTCACAATTCACTGCAAGAATCCAGAACTTACAATCTGAATTTCAGTCTATTGTAAAAGAACCTCTGAATGTTTCACCATTACAGACTTTATTGGTTTGCAGCAATATGTTTCTGACAACATCTTGGTTGGGAAAAGGGTTCAAAATCTCTTCAAAGTTGAGGTCTAGGATATTTGATACGGGACAAGACGGCGAGCTCCCCCTTCCACACAGATACACAGGTCACCTTTCCACCACACCGTTTGGTTCTAAACAGTTCTAGATCTAGTATAATACTGTACACATACACAAAGTTAAAAACACCAGTATTCAGTGTAAAAACGGTGCTATGCTAACCTGTACTGTATGTATTTCTATCCCTTCTTCTGCTCTTGAACTGTGCTCCTTTATCTACCCCAAAGTCAGATGTAATCAATATTTTGAAGCAAAATGTTTGCTAACATTATTATTATAATCCCCTCTTCTCCCATCTTGGTCAATTTGAAAATAAAAACAGTTGCAAATATTAAATGTGACATGTGTGTTGTACTCAGTTTTTAAGCCAGTGATGGCCTTCCTTTTGACACACAGTAAAGTACACTTATTGCCGGTCGTTTACCTTCACATGCATTGGAACTTCTTAATCCATAAGGTTTAAATATGATGTCGGCCCACCCTTTGCAGCTCTAATAGCTTCATGTCTTCTGGAAAGGCTTTTTACAAGGTTTAGGAGTTTGTCTATGGGAATTTTTGGCCTTTCTTTCAGAAGCGCATTTGTGAGGTCAGAAAATGAATGTTGGACGAGAAGCCCTGGCTCACAGTCTGTTCTAATTCATCCCAAAGGTGATCTATAGAGTTGAGGTCAGGACTCTGTGCAGGCCAGTCAAGTTCTTCCACACCAAACTCACACATCCATGTCTATATAGACCTTGCTTTGTGCAAAGCTGTGCAGTCATGTTGGAATAGGAAGGGGTCACTCCCAAGCTGTTCCCACAAAGTTGGGACCAAGATGTCCAAAATTTCTTGGTATTCTCAAGCATTAAGAGTTCATTTCACTGAAACCAAGGGGTTGAGCCCAACTCCTAACCCCCCCCCCCTTCTCCTCCAATAACCCCCATCCCTACATCATAAACCACCCTCCACCAAACCTAACAATTGGCAAATTGCACTGAGACAAGTACCATTCTCCTGGCAACTGCCAAGCCCAGACTTGGTCATCAGATTACTAGATGGAGAAGCATGAACCCCCCAGAGAACACGTTTGCACTTGTTTAGAGTTCAGTGGCGCCGTGCTATACTGTGATTTTATGCGATCTACCACTTCATAGCTGAGTTGGTCTTGTTCCCAATTGCTTCCACTTTGCTATAACACCACTAATAGTTTGAATATTTAGTAGTGAGGAAATTTCACCACTGGAGTTGTTGCACAGAATTGCTGGAATTCACTGAGCTCCTGAGGTGACCCATTCATTCACAAATGTTTGTACAAGCTGTCTGCATGCCTAGGTGCTTCATTCTTTACACTTGTGGCCATGCAAGTGACTGAAAGACCTGAAGTCAGTATGGGTGAGTGAATACTTTTGACAACATAGTGTATCTGGCTGGCAATCCTAGTGCCCATCTGAGGTTCACATTAGAAGTTTGACTGAAAAGTGCTATTACTCCTACAGTAATTGCTGCCATTAAAATGCATCCATGGAACAGGGGTGGCAACCTTTCATCAAGAAGCATCATGCGACACATGATGGTTGGGCCATGTTGGCAACCTGAGGCAACATTTCACAAGAGTTTCTTTTACGACTCCATGTTGTTTCACAGAAAACAATAAAAGACTTATTGCAGTTAGTTTGACCATCACAGGTACGTTCTTTATTATTACAAGTCAACCAACTGTATCAAAACTGCAAGAACCCGAAAGCCAGAGTGCAGAAACATTTTTCTGCTCTCTCACCAATAACTGTCACAAACAAATGCATTCACTTAAAAAAAAAAAAGTCTAAAGGCACATCTCTAAGATATTTACATTGCATACAGGTTTGACATACAGTAAAAAGCACACAATCAGTCCTAAATCCTTGGCCACACTGGCTTTGCTAAAGAGACTAAAGTTATCCATAAAAACATACAGCAGTTGTTGTTTATAAGTCACAGTTTTCAAAGCTACAACGCACAGGTGGAAATTTGTGTTTATGTAACTTTTATGGCTTTATCTTTTTCATTAGGAATTATCGCTTGCATGCCACTCTGCTATGGCTTCTCTTCTTCTTTTTGTTTCCTCTTCAAAGACACTTTGTACTACCTTAGAGAAACGTGTTCATTTAAAGGCCTGCTGAAAACAAGTTTTAAGGTTTTAGGATTTGACATTTTGGGAAAATATTTTTGCTGAGTGACATAAGAACAATTAACCTTTCCAACATCCAGTCTGCCCTCTTAGGCAGAATGTTTTAAGCAAGATGTCTGGATTGAAAGGCTATGCCTCCTAAACACAGCAGCGACACAGGGCAGTGTGCTCCTCACGCTTCTCCTATACTCCCTTTTCATGACATGTTCTCCATTTCAACCCTCCAGCGCCACCACGGGCGATTTCATGACGTCAGTGATGCACTGTCAACCATGGAAGAACCCTGAGACCTATTCTTGGGTTTGTGAAAGAAGGAAAGGAAATGGGTCAGACGGGCTCGGCACGTGTGTAGCCAGCGGATGGGGCAGCATGTGATTGATGGAATACCTTAAACAATGGCAGTGTCCTGGTTTCTAAATCATATGATTCCTACATTACTCTGTAATGCAGAGGTATTTCCGGATAGGCAGAGGGTATGTAGGAACTTCAGGAAGGATACAAATGATGCTCACGCACAAGCAGCAAAAACTCCTGGAAGGATCTTTGTCAGAGTTCTTCAGGCACCGAGCCACTCTGGGTTGGCAGTGTTGCTCTGAATGACCTCATCTCTCCCCAGTGAGTTCAACAGCAGAATCAACCTCCTCTAGAAAAACAAGAATCTTTCCCTCACCGAAGTCCAGCAGGATTTTGTCAAAAATCTTCTTCAATCCCAACATTCCTCCACAAGATTAAGCTCTTCAAGCGCCATCACAGTGCAGCTACCATGTCTCATAAGAAGGATCTGCCCCAAGTCACCACTGAATACCAGCTAGAAGCCACCGAATAGCTTCTGTACAATCTGGTGCCTCTAATGTGCAAAAATCCATTACTGAGACTTCATTAACTACCATGGCAACTTCTAATGAGTGCTGCAGTGCCATCATCTTTGCTCACATAGCATTGGAGTCACAGAGAATGAGAAGGCACTTCTAATGGTAGCCTTTAATATAAGCTCTATCATTTTAGTCTAATCTTAATGGCAGAGATGGCGTCAGCCAACCAAACACATAGTAGGATCTTGTTTTAAGTTCCTTCCTCCAGGAATTCTGATCAAATGGATGCTTTTTTTAGGCATATATCACAACTATATATCAGTCCAGACTAGAATTAGC